ATTCTGCTGCTAGCGAATATGAAAACTTGTGCGCTGGTTTTGAACTTAAGAAGCGTTCCCAACGAACGCGAAGCGAAGATTTGCATCGCTTCATTCGCACGACTTTGACCTGCGGCATCATCTGTGGTTACCAGCGTCACAACAACTAATTAACATATTTTGCAATGGTCTAATTGTAATGAACGTATCAAAATGATCCCGAAATGACTCGGACTGATACCAATTAGTACATACAACGATTAAGCGAGTGTGTCCTCAAGATGGCAGGGAAAAAAAAGTCAAATATTTGATGAATGGAGGTCGGCTGCTATTGAATACGAATCTTGCTGGTTTTGGACTCAAGGAGCGTTCCCAACGGACTCGAAGCGAAGATTTGCATCGCTTTACTCGCAGAAGTTTGACCTGCGGCATCATGTGTGGTTACCAGCGTCATAACAACAAAATAAAAATGTTTTGCAGTGATTTTGTTGTAATACATGTATCAAAATGACACCGAAATGACTCGGACTAATACCAATTACACACAATGATTTAACGAGTGTGTCCGCAAGGTGGCAGGGAAATCGCGGTTGGCTGCTAGTGAACACGAATCTTGTTTTTTCTGATTAATGCTGCGTTTCCTCTGCATGGAACCGTTCAACTTAACTAGCTTCAACCTTTTTTTAATATAATGCTGACGTCTGATTAGCAGCCGAGTTCAAATCCTCTAAAAAGCAGCCTTTTCTTTACCTGGAAGGACATCTTTTTATCCAATAAGCTTTGAAAAAGGTTTAAAAGTTTTCGAACCACAAGGATACATACACCTTTTGTTCAATTTTCAGTGAAAACATAACACCAAGATTGTAGTTGCAAGGTCTTTATGCCACTTGTTTAATTATTGCTTTTTTGTATTACTTTAGAGATGCAGAATAACGCAAGCAGCTACTGAAGAGCCTCAGTGCAGATAATTACAGACGCATGTGAAGAGTGTATTCTCCTGCAACATTTGTCAGCCTTGTTTCTGCAGCTGTGTTAATGTCCATGTTACTGCGTGCAGCTATTTGTCCTCAAAACTTCAATAAATTAACACTTGGGTTTTGTTTAAAATCTTTATTTTTTTGCAATAGTGTACAAAAAAAATGCTCAACTGTTCAAAGGTAAGTCATGCATGTTGTTAAATGAAACTGAGAGTTGGTGAAATCAACTTTTCTGAATGAAATATCCTCTCAAAATATGTTTACAGAATCCCTTTCAACCATCAATGTGAAGCCAAAATACAGTAGGCGTTGCATTGAAGCAAATACAATCTTTCCGTCGTTACATACCATGTCTCTTAAATTCCTTATCTATTTAAAATACAAAAGCCTTGCAGAGTAAGAACGCATATCAACTTAAATTAGTCTATACCACGTTTTTTAAGTATAAAACATCTTTAAAAAACAAAAAACATGTTATATTCAAAAGGTTTCTGATCATTTGTTTGTATTGTAAAATCATGCGTGTCAGCAGGAAATGAGCATAGGCCTATAGGCTATAAGTCTTTATTTGGCATTTTATTTCATGTCAATCTGCTTAAAGATATACTTTATAAAATGTCTGCATTAAAATGTTTAAAAACCACTGGACTTGTTTGTTTTCAAAGAAATGTGTAATTTTAATGAGGCTATTTGGGTGTTTCCTCTCCCCTTTGAGCATGAGTCTGCAGAAGCTGTCATAGGTTGACTTTCTATCCAGTTTAAGCCACATTCTTAGCAAACACTTTTAATATCTTGGTGCTTTTTAACTATATATTCTAACAAAATGAAGGATTTTAGACATGGGACGTTTGGATAGGAAGTGATCAGAGAAACAATCTGAGCTAACGTTAGCTACAGCCAAACTGCATTGGGAAACAGTGATTTCAAACCTTTAAACTAGTATATTATGTATTCTTACTGGTTTTAATCACTGGGGCTGCTTGTTTGTGAGAGAAGGAGACCTGTAAGGATAATTTGGCCACTGATGAAAAACTTCTGAATGTCTGGATCTTACTTAAGGAGTCAGAGAAACAGGCTGAAACAGGCTAAGCTAACATTAGCCTTTTATCTCGTAGCCTCTCCACCTTCCTGTCCACCCTGGAAAATACTGCATTTTAAACAAACTGCTTTATTCTGTATTTCAACTGTTTTAATAACTAAGACGAGAGGAGGGGAGCTGTAAGGATCATTTGGCTTCTGATGAAAAATACTTCTGAATGTCTGGATCTTAAGTATTCAGAGCTAAGCTAACGTTAGCATTTAGCTCGTAGCCTCTCCACCTTCCTGCCCACCATGGAAATACTGAATCGAAAACAAACTGCTTTATTCTGTATTTCAACTGTTTTAATAACTAACGCGAGAGGAAGAGACCTGTAAGAATAAGTTGACTCCTGATAAAAACAACTTCTGAACATCTGGATCAAACGTTATCGGAGAAACAGAAAAGGCTGAGCTAACGTTAGCAATTAGCTCGAAGCCTCTCCAGGAAATACTGAATTTGCTTTAAAACTGATTTATTCAGTATTTTCTCAGAATAGACAATTCATTAGAAAGTCCCATGATCCCAGCTACTTCACTTCTACGTATTTTATTATTGTGTGGATAAAAAGCACACTAGTAATTAGGCTACATATGACATTTTAAGTAAAAATCTTATAAAGTATTAAATATGCTTTGAAAAAACCGCACTTTTAATATAATACAAATCTATGCACAACAGTCCCAGATAAACCACTTTAATACTCAGGATAAGACCATTTTGGTAAATAATGATTAACCATCTGCAAAGAGATGCATCTTAAACAGACTATACTTTTCAATGCCTCGTAAAGACAGGGTCACTTTGGATTAATTCAGTTTGATTACTGCTGATTTAAAGCCCCAGTGTGAGAAACCACAAATAAAATCAAAAGCAACAGTGAAAAAAAATGTGGAAATTGATGGAAAAGTGGCAACAGTTTGTAACAGACGACTATTTTTTTTAAACATGTTTTGGTCCCATAGCCTCGCTTAAACACACAGGTATAAAGATATACACTGATAATGTATGAGCGCTCTTTGTAAAAGAGAATCTCAGATATGATTCCTCATCATGTTGACTTATTTTGGCTGTTAAATGTTGGGTTATTAAGATTCATAAAACATCTTCTTGGTGACGGTGGTTCCTCCCATGACGCTCCTCTGAACGACCTCCTTGGTGACCTGACGGGTCACCATGCCGCTCGACTCCATGTGCTGCGTGGTCGTCATCATGCCGTCACCTAGAACAAAATAGCATTATTATTAAAGAGTGCTGCAGGAATAATAATAATAATAATACATTTCATTTATATAGCGCTTTCCTGGTGCTCAAAGCGCTATACAATAAAGTAAAGGAGAAGAATAACATCAAAAGTAAAAAGTGCTAAGCTAGGTGAAATAAGGGCGAGGGGTTATTGGATTAGGAGTGGAACGCAAGAGTGAAAAGGTGAGTTTTGAGGGATTGTTTGAATGATGTGAGAGTGAATGATTCCTAAAACCTGGAAATTAGTCAGCATTTTCACAATTCTGGAAATCGATGTTTTTTTTATAAATGTGACACTGGTGGATTTAAGAAAATGCAGTTGTTAACAAATGTATAAATGAGATGACTCAACGTCATCAGGCCCAACATTAGCCGCCTTTAGCTTAGTGGTGGTGAGGTGAAGTCATGTGACCGTGCTCTAGTTCCTTTATAGCCCAACATTAGCCTCCTTTAGCTTAGCGGTGGTGACGTGAAGTCATGTGACCGTGCTGTAGTTCCTTTATAGCCCAACATTAGCCTCCTTTAGCTTAGCGNCAATCGGTGTTTTCAAATGTGTTCATCTATGAGTGTGTGTGTGTGTGTGTGTGGGTGTGTGTGTGTGTGTGTGTGTGTGTGTGTGTGTGTGTGTGTGTGAGAGAGACTTGGTCAAAGGC